CCCGACTAGAAAGGGTCTCAGCACAGGAATCCCTTTTACTAGATCCCTGATATTTAAAAAAAACCTCCATCTTCCACCCGAAGCCCTCCAGGATGGGGACACTCCTATTGCCTTATGAAGTAAACCATGTCACTTTTGGAAAGCTCTGATCGTTAGGAAGTTCTTCCTTATAGTCAGTAGAAATCTTGACTCGCTCCTTCCGCTTCCCTCTTTCTGCCTGTCGGCACTAGTTCTTCCCTCTTTGACTAGGCAGAACACGTGTAATCTCTTCCAAAGAACAGCCCTTCAGATGTTTGAAGATAGCTGTCATGTCTTCACCACCACCATCTCCCCCTTTCTTTTCTTCTCCAAGTTAAATACAATCTCCTGTGGTATTGAGTCCCTTCACCTTCCTTACCGTTTTATCTGTGGCTCGGATGTTAGCTTATTAGTGTCCTTCCTAAAACATGATGCTAGAACTGAATCCAGATGTGATTTGACCAGGGTAAAGTACAGTGAGAGTGCCGTCTCTCTTGTTTGGGATACTATTCTAGTAATGCAGCCTAAAACCTAATTCACTTTTTTGGTTGTCATGTTACAGTACAACTGAACTCGAATTCCACTAATAGCCCCAGGGTAGGGGGTCTAAACCTTGTTAGTGTCATAGACCACCACCCCGCGCCCCCCCCCCCCGCCCTTGGCAGGAGGCATAGAGCTCTTCACTTCTTATCATAAACAATTTGTTCGGATTCTCGATATCCAAGTGAATGGGTCTCTGACACAGTAGAATTTCAGCTAGATCTTTAGTGTTCTTTGCAGAGAAGAAATTCTAAACATTCCCATAAAAGATACAGTTATAGTTATATTCCAGATATGGTTCAAAATCTGCCTGCAAATAGCAGGGTTGATGTTGTTGGTAATAGGCACCACAGTGGTCAAGTTGTAACTCAGTCTTCATCAGCTGCCAGAATTAGAAATAATTGCTTTGTTGGGTTAAATCAAAATCTACAGAACTAGAACTCCTAGCCATTGATACCAACGCCCTGGTTTTTAAATAAGAGTAACAAGACCAAGTATAGAAGTTGCTTCCTTCCCAGTTTTCTTTATCTATAAAATAAGGGTAATGATAACTTCCCTGATATCCTAATACAAATGGAAGCCAGAGCTCTGGATTGGGAGTCAGAAGACTGGGGAGTTAATCTCAATTTTATTACTTATTCAGTGTGAGACTTTGGACTCTCCTTGGATCTTGGTTTTTCCACCTGTGAAATTAAGAAATTGGATTTGAAAGAAATCAATTTCACAAGTATAAGATAAGAGGAGCGAAGATAGGCTGTATTTATTTGAAAAAGATCTGGGGGTTTTAATGGACTTAAAGCTCAATATAAGTCAACCATGTAACATAGCTAATGCAATCTTAGGTTGCATTACAAAAGGCATGATGTCCAAGTCTAGAGATGCAATAATCTGACTTTATCTTGAACTGGTCAGACCATGTTAAACATTATATTTAGTTATGGCTGCCACATTTTTAGGACCTTACTAAGATGGACAGAATTGGACTGGATTCAGGAAGACCTGAGTTTGACTTTGAACAAGTCACTTCACTTCTCTCAGCCTCAGTTTCCTCATCTGTAAAATGGGGGTAATAACAGCACTTACCTCACAGGGTTGCTGTGAGGATCAAATCAAATAACCTGAGTAAAATGCTTTGAAAACCTTAAAGGAAATACAAATGCTAGCTGTTATTGCTCAGAGGAGGGAAATTAGGGTGGTAAAAAGCTTATGTATCATGTATATCCAATAAAAGAACGAGAGATGCTCAGCTTTTAAGTAGACTTTGGGACTACATGACTGCTTTTTTCAAGTATAGAATGATGAGACTGATCTATGAGGGCCAGACCTTTGAGTATACACAGAGATTCCCTACCTGGTTTCACTCCAAGGGGCCAAGTTCATGTGGAAACTTGGGGGAAGCAGTTCTCTGGCCAGACCTGACCAAGGGGCTGGTGGTACTGTTTGATGATGGAAAGTTTTCTAATTGGCTGCAGAACTGAATGTGAATACAAAAGGGGCAATCCACCCATCTTGCTTTCTCTTTCCTTTGCAGTTTTTAGGAGGCTGCCCCCCACCCCCACCCCAAAGCCCAACTGGGGGAAGATTGGATGTCCTTTTTTTCACTCTGCTATGGTGCTTGTGAACATATGGCACCTCAGTTTTTGCTCTTTTCTGATCTTCGGCAAACCCAGGTGGATGTGTCCAGGAAATGGACAGGAGATCTGGAGGTCTTAGCAGTAGCGGTAGGCATGGGAGCAGTAGTGTCCATGGCCAAAGAGGTAGAAATCTGCAGATGGGTCTGAAATAACAGTCATTAGAGTAGAGGAGAAGTTTTAGGAATTGTGACCCTTTGTGGTAGAGAGGGATGCTGACTATGAATTATAGAAATGCACTGATTCTCTGAGCTGAGAAAAAAAAGAAAGGGCAACATCCAGGGGGATCTTCATGAGGACTCAAGTAGTCAGCCCACTTCTGGAGACTCCAAGTAAGGAAAAACTTTCTAACAATGAGAACAATCTAAATGTGGAACAGGTTGCCATAAGAGGTAGTAAGGTTTTTCTCATGGGAAGCCTTCAAGGAAGGGCTGAGTGGCAACATGGGTATACTGGCAGAGGGATCTCTGTCTTTTTGGCCATGTGTGGGTTGGACTTAATGTTCCCCTATTCCCACCCCATCCCCCTTCCCAGGTCTCTTCCACTTTTGAGATTATTTAATTCTGGTGATACGATTTTAAAAGTCCCTACCAGGCCTATCATAAGGATAACAAGATCATAAAGAAGTAGAATCATACTTTTAGAATTAGGAGGATCCTAAAACGGTCATCTAGCCCAATACCCTGTTTTACTTCTCAGGAATCTAAGTTTCAGTGAGGTTAACTGGCTTGCTCAAAGTCATGTATTAGTGGCTGAGGTAGTGTGGCAAAACCTATATATGAACCTATGTACTCTGACTCCAGATCCAAAGCTCTTTCCCCAGTACCACACTGCCTCTTAGAAGAGATGTGAAAGTGCTTTGAAAACTAAAGAGCCACGAAATGTTTCATTTATTTTTAATATATTTTATTTATACCACAAAATATTTCCCAAGAACATGTAAAGTTTTTTTTAACATTCTTTTAAAAAATTTTTTGATTTCCAAATTCTCTCCCTCCCCCAGCCCTCTCCCACTACTTGAGAAGGCAAGAAACATGATATTGCTTATATGTGTGAAGTTGTGTAAAACATATTTCCATATTAGCCATGTTGCAAAAGAATAAACACACGTACAAAACAAGAAAAACAAAGAAGTAATAAAAGTATGCTCCAAATTGTACTCAGAGTTCATCAGCTCTCTCTGGAGGTGGATAGCATTTTTCATGATGGGTCCTTTGGAGTTGTCTTGGATCATTGCCTTCATCAGAGTAGCTAAGTCACAGTTAACCATTCTTACAATTGAGAAGGAAATTATAATTTTTATATTAATTGATATGATATATGCAATGAGTATACTAATAATTTTGTTTTTTCAAGAGCTGCATCTCCAACTTGTGAGTCAGACTCATAACACAGCTTGAACTGATCAATCAGACTTTGACAAGGCTCACAATCACTGGCATCCTTGTGCCTGTACCTGAAGTGAATTGAATCAAAGACTGTAGAACCTGTTCCCAGCACAGAACTCTGGTCCTACCAAGTAATAACTCCCAAGGACTCAAGCAATATTGCTCCCTCAGGACTCCAGAATTGTTCATTGTTTGTAATCCACCTTCCCTCCTTCCTTCTCATTGTGAATTATGTGTATAATCTCTGTCTTCACTTCAGCAAGGTGGAATTCTGATCAGGGGAATACCCAATTTGCAAATGTGTTCCTCATAGTGAAACTAATTAATTAAACAGCTATCTGATTACTGTCACTTTGTCTCTGGTCTACTATTTTGTCATTCTCAGGTTAGAGACTGGCTCAGTAAAATCCTGTTAACACAATATTGCTGTTACTGCATACAGGTCTCCTGGTTCTGCTCTCTTCATTTTGCATCAGTTCATAGCAGTCTTTCCAGGTTTTTCTGAAACCATCCTGCTCTAATTTATTATAGTACAATAGTCTTCCATCACAGTCATATACCACAACTTGTTCAGCCATTCCTCAACTGATGGGCATCCCCTTCCAATTTTCAATTCTTTGACATCACAAAAAGATGGGCTATAAATATTTTTGCATATATAGGGCCTTTTCCCTTTTCTTTAATCTCTTTTCCATACAGATCTAGTAGTGGTATTGCTGGGTCAAAGGATTCAAAACAGTTCTATAGCATTTTGGGCATAGTTACAAATTGTTCTCCAGAATGGTTGGACTGGTTCACAAACTCTACCAACAGTGGATTAGTGTCCCAATTTTTCTACATCTCTTCCAACATTTGTCATTTTCCTTTTTTTTTTTTGTCATTTTAGCCAATCTGATAGGTGTGAGGTGGTACCTCAGAGCTGTTTTAATTAGAATTTTTCTAATCAATAGTGATTTAGACTAGAACATTTTTTCATGCGACTATTGATAGCTTTACTTTCTCCCAAAAACTGCCTGTTCATATTCTTTGACCATTTATCAATTGGGAAACGAGAGCCATAAAATGTTAATGAATTAGTGTTATTCTATAATTTAAAGTTTTTCTTCCCCGAGCAATAATTTTAAGCCCGCGACTTCTAGGTCCTGTCGCCATTAAAATAGGGTATTGGAACCAATGTTAACAGGTGGGGGAGGGGTCGCCAGTAGTAAATAAGGGAACGCCACTTGCTCTTTCCCTTTCATTTTAAATACTTTAAACTACTCATACTCCTTCATTCCAATAAAAAAAAAAAAAGGCCATCTAGTAGCGGGTCCCCATTGGTAGCTACCTAACTAGGTGCCGCCCCCTTCCGTCCCGCCTACCGCTTTGTCCCGCCCCATTCCATTTTCTGGCTGCCAGTAGTTGTGGAACCGGAAACAGCTTCTCCAGGACGGAGTGCGCATGCACGGTCCTCTGGGCATCAAGATGGCGATGGAGATTCGGCTTCCTGTGGCCCGCACTCGGCTCCCTGAGAGCTTGGACCGGGACACACAGAAGCACTTGGTGGTGCCCGGGGACACGATCACCACGGATACCGGCTTCATGCGGTGCGTGGCAGGGGCTGCGGGCGGGCCGGCGTCCAGGAAGCTTGCCTTTCGGGCTTCCGCTTTCCCTGCCCTAAGACCCGCGTGTTCCCGCCAGCCGCGAGTCTCTGTCCCCGCGCGTCCCCGCGTGTCCCCGCGACTCGGTTCCTGACCTACATGCCCCTGTTCCTTTGTGGCCCTTCGTGTCCCAATATGTCTCTGCTTCTGTAGGTCCCTTCACAGCTCTGTTCCTGTGTGTCACTGCGTGCCCCTTCATGTCTCTGTATCTCTGTCCCCGCTTGTCCCCTCTCTCTCTTCTTTGTCTCTTTTTCCTGAGTGTCCTTGCGTGTGCCCATGTCTCTTCAAACCTGTTCCTGCATGGCCTTGTGTTTCTGTGCCCTGTGACCCTGCATGCCCTCCTGCCCCTCTTCCCAAGTGTCTATGCATCCATCACTCAGTAAGTAAGCATTTATTAAGCACCTCCTGTGTGCCAGGAACTGTGCTTAACGATAGGGACACAAAGAAAGGCAAAAACATTTCCTGCCCTCAAGTAGCAATATCTGCTTTATCCCGATGGGAAGAGCAGAGTGGTGCCCGTGGGTCTTGAGTAATAACTGTTTTTTGTTACAGGGGCCATGGTACCTATATGGGAGATGAGAAGCTAATAGCATCTGTGGCTGGCTCTGTGGAGAGAGTAAACAAGCTGATCTGTGTGAAAGCTTTGAAAACAAGGTGTGTCTATTCTTTCCTCCAGCTGGGGGTCACACTGGGGTCACAGGAACTGTGCCTTAGAAGAGACGGCCCATCCAGGCAGGTTTGTGGTGAGCTATTAGGTTGAAGTGCTTACTCTAAAGTTGGAGGAAATTTGGAAATGGGGAGAGGCTAAATCTTTTCTTTTAATATAGTTAAGTGCAAGTGATACTAGTGAAAACTTCTGGGCAAGGGTGATTGTTAAAGGAATGGGGACATACCCAAACTTTTATTTGGTTCTTGATACTCTTTAACTTCAAATGATCACTTCTCTTATATAGCTATAATTTTCCTTGTTAGGTTATTTAGAAGCTTCACATTTGTGTTAGTTCTGAAGCAGGCATAAATTCCTGAAAAATTAAACCAGACTCTAATCAGCAGTTTTGTAGAGTGTTGACTGTGTTCAAGATATCCTTGATGAAAGTAAAATACAGCCATAGCCCTCAATGGGCTTGCAGTCTAGTTGGGCTTAAATGCATAAATAAAAAGCTAAGTGATATATATGAGTTAAATGAAACAATACAAGAGTGATCATAAAGAAGTAGTTAATTACTAGTCAAAGTAATAACAAACTTTCATCAATGCATTGAACAGTCATGACTTCAGAAAAGTGATGATGAAGTGTGCCGTACACCTCTTGTCAAAAAAATGACGGCCTTAGAAGTACAGAATGAGACATGCATTTTCAGATATGGCTAGTGTATTGAATTGTTTTGCTTGACTATACTAATTTCTGACAATGGAGGCTTTCTGTTGGTGTTAAGAGTTAGTGGGTAGTGACAGAGATACAGAAGAAAAAAAAGAAAAGTTCATTGATAAAACATTTTTAAAAAGTTCACAGAAAAAGGTTCTAAATGGGACATATAGAGCAGTTTTGTTACCAGCATCTTAAATTTAATATATACTTTAAAAAACCCAAACTGTTACAGAAGTTTACACTTTCATATACAATCCTTGTTTTCATCGTTTCTGTGCTGAAATCTTTGTGTTTGTTGATGATTATTAAATTCCTAACAAGAGAATTGAAAAAAGTCAATGATTGACATTGGTTGTCTTTTTCAGGTATAATGGTGAAGTAGGAGACATTGTAGTGGGGAGAATCACAGAGGTAAAGTTTGAATCAGGCAGTTTGCTTTTTTAAAAAATGATTCTGAATTTCACAAGCAAACAGAGAACATTCGTGTGTGTGTGTGTGTGTGTGTGTGTGTGTGTGTGTGTGTGTTAGAACAGAATGTGTGAAACCATAAATTTTTTGTGTACTTAAAAAAAGTATATGAGTCATCGTGTTTTAATCTTTTAAAGCTGTTTTGCTCTTATAAATAAGTATAGTCAGCACATTTGCCAAGCCCTAAAATGTATATATGATTCTGCATCTTGGGGCGCATTACCCTTTTGTCAGGAGGTAGGTAGCATGAGTCTTTACTGGTGAACTTCTCTAGACTTGTGAGTGGTCATTGAATTGGTGAAAGTTCTTAAGTCTTTTGAGTTGAAAAAATTTTCTAAGCTTACTTCACTTAATCCTCAGTTCATGCGAGTCTTCCCAGCTTTCTCTGAAACTGTCCTTTTCATCGTTTCTTACAGTACAATCACTCCTACTTTCTTATACTGTAGGCTGTTTGGTGATTCCCCAGTTGATTAAATGCCGCTTTTGTTTCCAGTTCAACAAGGAGAACTGCTGTAATTATTTTCATACATAAGGATTTTTTATCCTCTTTATTTGATCTCTTTGGTGTGTAGTCTTAGAAGTGCCATTGCTGGGTCAGATGGTATATACACATAGCTTAGTGACTTGGGGCTTTTCAGAATGGCTGGATCAGATCATAGAGATTGTATGCTTTGAAAAAAGAAAAAATAGTCAAACATGTTTTTGGTAGAGGGCATGATTAGCTAAATTGTAATTTGTATTATTTTTGCTGCAAAAATTCAGGCTGTGTTACAACAATATTTGGGGTCACTGACTCTCTAGAGTCTGGGTTCTTGGAATTAGAGTCAGTAACTCTAGAATGCCTTACTTTGTAGGTTCAGCAGAAGCGGTGGAAGGTAGAGACCAACTCCAGGCTGGATTCAGTCTTGCTTCTCTCATCCATGAACCTTCCAGGAGGAGAGCTGGTGAGTGCTTACAGCTAAATTCCATTTTCCTGCTCTCCAACCATAGTTGCAAAAACTTGGGATTTCTACATAGACTAATAGGCTAATCTCATAAATTTCTACACAGACAATGGACACCACTGGCATGTTTCCTTATTGCTTGAAGAAAATACAGAGGAAATTTGCTGATAGGAGTAAAACATCATTCTTTTAAGTGGTGAAAAGAAGGGCTAAATTTTTCCAATGTGGGCAGTAATGTGAGAGCAAGGGCATCCTTGAGATGGAAGCCTAATGAAATATTATCTGGAAGGTCCATATGCAGCAGGAACTTAGACCCCTGGTACTGATCATTTCCCTGTTCCAAGTCTGTACTGCTTTAAACAGATAGCATGTTTCTGGAAAGCTGTATGTAAATTAAATTTTAGCATATAGACTCATGCTGTAAGTTTACTATGGGAAACTTTCTGTAAAGGATTCGTATACCAAGCCTTTTTTAAAAGTTGTTTAAAATTCCTTCTAATTTTTCTATCTTTACATAACTGGATTTTCATATCTGGTTTACTTAAGGTGTACTCTTATACGGAACATAAGAATCTTTTTAGCCCTCATGTTTTCACTTAGGATCGAATGGTTCCTTTGGATGTCATTGCCATTTTAGGGCAGAGTAGAAGAAAGAAGAGGTCAATTACAAAATCTCCTTTGCAAGAGAACTCCAAAATCATCAGGTTCATCCTGTCTCTGAACAGAAATCCTTTCTACCTCATCCTTGACAAATGGTCACCTCTCCTGTGCCTGAAGACTTCCATTAATGGGAGCAGCTCATGAAATGTGTCCCTACACTAAGCCCCAGATCTGCCTCCCTGCAGCTTTAGAGTAGTAATGACGAAGACAGCTGCCATGCTCAGACAGTGGTTCCATGTGAGATAGGCAATGTGAGGCCTATCGTCCTCATTTTATAGATTAGAAAACAAGCCCAAGGGGGTAGTCTAGACAAGTTCGCATCGGAGAGAGGATTCAGGCCCACCTCTCCTGTCTGTGATGGCGGCTATTTTTCCGCTGCGGCACGGTGACTTTGACCTGTTGTTCCTGATGCTCCCCTCTGAGGCTAAATAGGACAAATCTAAATCTTCTTTCTTGTGACAGCCGAGGCAACAAGCATGCATTTGGTGCTTCACGTGTGCCGGGCGCTGTGCTGAGTGCTGGTGACAGCCCTTTGAAGGCGCTGCGCTGCCTCCTCCCTCAGAGTCTCTTTTCATTCAGCCGTTTGCTGGTCAGTCAGTACTCAGAGAGTATGGTTTCCAGCCTCTTCAGCATCCTGGTCTCCCTCCTCTGCCAGCTTGGTGTCCTTAAAAATATGGAGCCCCAAGCTTAATACAGTAATCAGCCATGGTGTAACTAGGAGAGAATATCATGGAATGATTACCTCCTGCCTTTTGGACACACGACCGATCGCTATTAGTTCAGACCAAAATTAGATTAACTTTTTTGATTGTGTGTTACTGTTGACTCACTGAGAGTATAGTCTCCTTAAAACTTCCCAACTATTGTCTTTATAGAGTTCTCCCATCCTATACTTGTGAGTTTTTTGTGTAGGATTTTATATTTATCCCTATTAAATTTCCATCTTGAGAGGCAGACTGGTGTAGTGGCCAGTGAATCTCGTATTCAAGTCTAGCCCCATTCAGCCTGGCTGTGTGACCTCCTCTAAGCCCTTCACCTCCTGGTGCCCCATTGCCATTCCTGAGACCAGAAGTTGCAGAGCAAATGCTGATCTTTATGGTTTGGAGGAAAGTTTCCTCCCTGGGAGTCCCCTGTACCAACAAAATTAAACATTTGGTTCTCAGCCAAATGAAAACAAAGTAAAACAGACATCAGCTTATTAGATCTACCCCTCTGTCCCAGCCTGGCTAAATCCTTTTGTGTCCTAATGTGCTAGCTTTCCCTTCCGGCTTTGTGTCATCTGAAAATTGGACATGAAGGGGAGGGGGGAGGAGAGAAAGAGAAGCAGAGAGAGGCTGCTGTTTTTGACTGAGGTATCACAGTTCAGCTGCTGTGCTTAAGAAATGAGGTAGGCCCTTATGAATAAGATGATACAGACCTCTTGTTTTTTATAGATGGGTACACTGGGGCACGGAAGGACAAAGCAAAGGGCTTAGACTAGGATTCCTAAGATCCTTCTGGCTCTAAGGTTCTCCGATGCTCAAAGTTCTTTTGGGGGATCATAGAATCCTAGACTTAGGGCTGGAAGGGACCTCACTGGCTACCTCATTTTACAGAGAAGGAACTGAGAAGATTGCCCTGTCACCCAGATAGCCAGTGTCTGAGACAAGATTCAAATTCGGATCTTTCTGACTCTTGTCCAGCACTATCCCCACTGTGATTCCAAGCTGCCCAAGACAATTGAGGGCATCTTGGTAGCAGATGTCATTTAGCTATTAAAGCTTAAAACTGCCCCAGTACTTTTGGGACACCCTGTATAGCTCCAGGAAATATCTTCAGAAGGAGAAAAGAGAAATAAAATCTGGGGAAATTTGTTTCTCTGAGTGGATGTAAGTAACATTTTTGTTTTTTTGTGTACTTCAGAGGAGAAGATCTGCAGAAGATGAACTTGCAATGAGGGACTTCTTACAGGAAGGGGACCTCATCAGTGTATCCTTAGATTTTGTAATTTGGCGTCTTTCTGTTTCTTCAGAGAGTGGCAAAATAAAACTGAAATTGTATTTAAGTGATGTGATAAGCCTGAGAATTTTCACAAGTATATGTAAACTAAAAACCAAGGTCATGGATATTGGTGAAGAATTTCTTCACTTTTGACATGAACTCCATTGCCTCTTCTTTTAGATACTACCTAGTTTGGCTCAGCTATTTTTTTGTCACAGGTTGTGCTAGCCTGGCCTTTAGGTTAGACAGGAAAATTCACTTTAATGATAAGGTGGCCATTTATCCCAGGGAATTAAAAAGGGTATTTTTCAGACCAGGATGTCAATTCTGGCTAAAGGAGAATGAGTAGGTCAGAGTGAAATACTCCTGATTAGTCTAGTTCTAAGGTTTGTAGATAAGGAATGATGAAAATGGAAAACAAATTAAGGTGCTGGGAGCCATGTTTGTGTGTATATGAGGGGAGAGAATGTGGGATGGGGGTGATGAGAAGATATCTTAAAATGGAAATGGAGAGGTATGAGCTGCAGACCACTGTTACCTCCTTCATTGCGAGGCCAGGCTGAAGTCCAGGCGGTATTTTCTGATGGTGCTGTGTCTCTACATACCAGGAGTCTAAAATATGGAAAAGTAAGTAGTATTGTAAAGCATTCCTACCGCCATTTTCATTCTCTTTGTGACTGGGCCTGCAAGTCTATTTCTAAATCCCTGGCACAGTCTGTAGCACTCTGAGCTAAAGGATTTCATGCTCTTCAGAAAGGGGAGTTTTGGGTTGGTGGCCCCAGTGCTCTATAGCTTAAGACAAAGAGGAGGTCAGAAGTAACATGCATAGGATATCCTTGGAACAATGGCATTGGAGAAACTGAAACAAAGTTTTGCTTTCCTAAGTGGGGAGTGATTCTCCCTGGAACTTGCTCAAGTGAAATAAGAGCCATTGTAGTACATAAAACATTGTTAATGCCATTTCTTCTTAGAGGAAATAAATTTAGAGTGGACCATCCTGTTTCATGTAATTAATTTAGGTTTCATTCATTCAGTCAACTTTTATCAAGCACTTACTGTGTACAAGGTCCTGTGGTGAACATAAATGATAGCTGATAATAGGCAGTGGGGTTAAGTGACTTGCCCAGGGTCACACAGCTAGTAAGTGTCAAGTGTCTGAGGCTGGATATGAACTGGGGTCCTCCTGACTCCAGGGCTGGTACTCAATCCATGGCACCGTCTAACTTCCCCTTGATGATAGCTTACATCTCATTGGTCTGAGAAGGAAGGTTGGACAAAATAGATGGCGTTAACCTAATGTGAACATTTAAAAATATAAAGGATATTGCTTCTGGTAAAATTAATTTTGTTACTTGAGCTTTCAAAATGGCATTTCATGCAGGAGCAGAGATCTCTTAGGATTCAAGTTATTATAAGGCTACGTTATTAAAGCTCTAACTTTTTTTTAACAACACATTTTCCTAAAAAAAAAAATCCTGTGATTTTTTTTAGGCCTCTTGGGTTTTTATATGTTTAATTTTCTGAAGTAGAACAAAGAAATCTTTCCTTGAGAAAGTAACTACATCTTCCAGCATTCCAAGGCCTTCAAATATGAAAGGGAAATGTGTTTTGCTTTGTATGCTGTCCTCTATTGTTGAAGATAATGCTACCTAACCCCTTGTTATTGTGGGGGCTGGATTAGTGCCAGTTGCCCTCCCTCAGGTAGGGAGTAACCAGGGAATGGGACAAAACCACCTGGTGATAAAAGCCTTGACCTTGGCCTCATTGCACCTGGGATTTAATTGCACTAAACTGACCCAGACTGTTTAGTGTAGTGATTTTGAGTAAAAGAAGTTTTGAATAGTCAGCTGATAGTAAACATATACAACATTTAAACAATATGTGAATGTGGTGTAGAAATTGAATTTTGAACCTTTATATAGGTTCTTCTGTGTAAAAATTCAGCTCTTGATATTGCATATACACACACATTTATGCATAAATATTCACACACATCTGTGTGTGCATATGCATATATGCACATATATGATATAGCAGTTGCTTTTGAGCAGTTAGATTTGGAATGGGGAAGGGACTTTTGATTATACCCAGTCTATAATCACCTTCAGCTCCGTGTAAGATTTTTATTTTAACTTTCAGAGGTCAACTTATGTATCATAATTTATGGTATATTTAATTCTCTCAGGCCAACTTTTACTGATTTATTGTAATTTTTATCTTAGCTTGGGCAGGGTGTTCTCGTCCAGGTTTCTCCTTCCCTGGTGAAACGACAGAAGACTCATTTTCATGACTTGCCTTGTGGTGCCTCTGTGATATTGGGCAATAATGGCTTCATCTGGATCTACCCCACCCCTGAGCAGAGAGAAGAAGAGGCAGGAAGCTTCATTGCCAATCTAGAGGTGAGAAGTCTCACTAACACCGGTGTTAGTGAGTGAATGAATGGTAACAGAAAGAATTCTCACTGTGTTTTTGTGGCATGTTTCTAACTTGCCTAATGGTGGACATGTTCGGAATTACCTTGAGTTGTGCATCCTACAGTATTCAGAAAAGATTTAAGTTTTTGACCAATTGATTGTTAGCAGAAGTAATAGGCAATCCGAGGATACTATCCAAAGATTTACTTCATAATGAATGAGATGAACCCATCCTTATTCATTTCTTTTGGACCATCCTCTTTCGTGTAATTAATTTAGATTTTGTTTATTCAGCCAACATTTATCAAGCACTTACTATACACAACATCCTGTGGTGAACATGAATGATAGCTGATAATAGCTTTTATATGTATTGTCTCATTTGATCCTCACAGGAAGCCTGTGATCTAGATAATGAAAGTATTATTCTCACTTTATAGGTAAAGAAGCATTCAAGGACATTAGATGAGCTAAGCCAGGGGTGGGGCCACATGTGACCCTCTAGGTCCTCAAGTTAGGCTCTTTGACTGAACCCAAACTTCACAGAAAAATCCCCTTAATAAAAGGATTTGTTCTGTAAAACTTGGACTCGGTCAAAAGGCTGCACCCAAGGACCTAGAAGGTCACATGTGGCCTCCAGGCTGCAGGCTCCTTACCCCTGAGCTGAGCCAAAGCTCCTGCCTTTGTGGACCTTATAGTCTGGTTGGTGATATAAGACATTTACCCAAATATTTTAGGAGGTAGGATTTGACGAATTCTTTGGTAATGTACAAATTGCTATGTGAATGTAGAGGAGGGAAGGGTAGTTTTCTGAATGAGGGCAGTATGGGAAGACTTTATGAACAAGGTGTCTTGAGTTGGGTCATTAATGATGGGTTGGAATTAAAGCTCCTAGGAGTGCAGGGTCAGGGCTAGGTGGGGAAATTGGAGCCATGAGTTCTGCCCTTTTTTCCTAACGGTATGATTTGAGTTTCTGTTGGTATTATTTTCAATCTTTTCACTTTTTTTGGTGATTTTTATTCCTTGTCTTTGTATGATTGACTCTGTTTCCCCCCCCAACTCCTTTTCCTCTTACCTGCAGCCAGTACCACTTTCTGATCGGGAGGTGATATCTCGGCTCCGGAACTGCATTGTTTCCCTGGTGGCTCAGAAGATGATGTTGTTTGACACTAGTCTTCTGTACTGCTATGAAGCATCTCTTCCCCATCAGGTATTCAGTTGGGTTGTTTTCCATGTTACACTATCTGCTGTAAACAGTTTTGTGGCAAAGATGAGATAAGGTCTCTCCCTCTCCCTTAGTCACAACCAAAGGCAGTGAACAGTCTTCCTAAATGTACTTCTGTATATTAGTCTGAATCCACATGGTGAATGTCTGAGTCAAACACAGCTGCCTCCTATTAATTGTTTTATAATTTTCTTCTTATTTACAAATGAGTGAATCTGAGATTTTTTCAGCATTGGGCAACTTCAGGATCAGCTGGGATGGACATTCCAAGTTGCACTGGTTTGGGGAGTAGCTAGGTGGCGCAGTAATAATCTTGGGCCTGGAGTCAGGAAAAGTCATCTTCCTGATTTCAAATCTGGCCTCAGACACTTAAGTGATTTACTAGCTATGTGACCCTGGGCAAATCATTTAACCCTGTTTGCCTCAGTTTCTCATCTGTAAAATGAGCTGGAAAAGGAAATGGCAAACCACTCTAGTATCTTTGCCAAGAAAACCCCAGATAAGATCACAAAGAGAGTTGGGTATGAGTGAAAAAATGATTGAACAGGTTAGCTCCAGGTTTGGTTTCTTAATTCCTCCTAAAACAGTATCTTTATACTGGTCAACAGAGAGAATCCTTCTGAGTTATTAAGATAATGGTCTAGTTTTGGCAGGTTCTGTTTCTCCCTCATTCCTCACGTCCAGTCAAATGCCAGATCTTGTTGTTTTTACCTTTACCACATCTCCTATATCTGTCTGCTTCTCTCTAGTCACAGAGCCACCTTCCTACTTCAGCCACTCATCATCTGTTAACCTAGATTATTGTAACAGCCTCTTAACTGCAATCTCTGCCTTGAGTCTCTTCTTTGTCCAAACCATTCTTCTTCCATGCAGCTGCTAAAACATGACTTTGCTAATGTTCAGATTTGACTGTATTATCTCCCCCCACCCCGAAACTCTAGTCAGTCCCTTTTATTTCTAGAATAACATATAGACCCCCACGTTTGGCTTTCAAATGCCTTCACCACCTGGCCCCAACCTGTCTGTCCAACTTTACTCTGCATCACTTTGTTTCAAGTACTGCACAGTCCAAACTGGCTTTCTCTCTGTTTCTCACGTATGTGACATCTTCCACTTCTACATCTTTGTACTGGATGTCCCCACATACTTGGAATGCAGTCACTTGTCATATTTGACTCTTAAAATCCTGTATTTCCTTCTGAACTGTTCAGTGTACATGTCTTCTACATAAACCTTTTTGCCATTCCCTCTAAATTTCCTAGGACCTTCTCCCTCCAAAAATTTGCCCTGTATTTATTTTATAAATAGTTATGTATGTACATGTCTTTCCTGCTCAGAGTTCCTTGAGGGCAAGGGAATGTTTCATTTTTGTCTTTGTGTCTCCATGGCCAAGCACAGTACTTTGTGCATAGTAGGCATTTAATAAAAGTTTGTTGTTTGATTGTCATTTATAGCCTGTTCTGTTTTCTGGGCAGTTCTTTTATTCCTTTTGTATCAGCCTGTTTTCTTGGTGTTGTGTGTAGCTTATAAAGCCTGGTTGTATGCTTGTTGGTGGTTCCTTATCTATGTGAACAACTTCATCTTTTGTCTTCTAGATCAAGGACATTTTAAAACCAGAGATAATGGAAGAAATTGTAATGGAAACTCGACAGAGGCTTTTGGAACAGGAGGGATAAGGAATCTGGAGATGAAGACTGCTGTATATTTTTGGCTGATGCACATCTTGGGGAGAGCCTAGTCGTGTGACTAGTTCTTAGTTGGAACATGACAGCTGTTTAGATAGAAGTTTTGACCAATATATGCAAAGGAGCCACTGTGATGGACACCCAGCATTAAGCTAAATGAAGAGCCAAGAAAAGAATCGCGTGGTCAGCGCTGACAAGCGTTCTTCTGTCTCTTACCTGTAGCTGCTCTTTCTTCTTTCCCTTTATATAGAAAATGAGGGTGATAAAAACATAAGTGGAAAATTGTGCCTTTGGGCTCTTTAGTTGGAGCTTGAGTCCAAGCAGTAGATGGCAGTTTCAGCTTATTAAAAGTATGTGATGTTCCCGGCCAGAATTTGCTTCGCTGCCTGGGATAATAAAGAGAATCCTTTGTCTCCCACCCACCATCATTCCCACAGAACAATGTAAATAAACCCAGTGACCCATGAAATTGGCCCTATAAAAGACATAGCAACTCTGACCCCAAATGTTACTTTTCAGGCTTTTTTTTTTAACAAAAACATATCACATTCCAGTTGTATTTTAATCAGTTTTTTAGATTAAGTCTAAAAGGTGGCAGCTTACTTAGTTGGAATCTTGTATCCCATTTAATGGGCTACTTTAAAAACATAGATTTAACTTTGGTGAACATTGCCTTACAACCCTGAGAATGGACTCTGGATTCATCCTTAGAAGAGTGGATCCTCTTCACCAAGACCTCTTAGTTCTGCCCAAAAAGATATTTTTTTATACAGATTCCGAAGGTACTTGAATTGCCATTGTTGATGCACAAGTCATCTTGGACTGATATTAGAGAGGATGAATTAATTGAGTCTGTACACTTTAAGAGGAGTGAAATGAGACAGAGACAGTGGTTTTGGGGACATGGGCGTTCTCGTGCAGTGTTTTTATGTAGTTTTGATTAGGTTGTTCAAAGACAATTGTTTACAAAATTTTTTCTAAATATTGTACATGTGCACATATTGTTTTGGTACACTGGTGGAATTCCTAGAATTTGGTTTCTGCTTTTCTGTTCTTTATCACTGTTGGAGGCTGATTTGAGTGAAAGGTATCTGCTGACAGATTCATCACATCACACCCCACCCAAAGGATTTGAAAGATAAATGCAATAGTTAAAATATATTGCCTTTTATTTGAGCTTTGGGTTATATTTGACAAGGCTTGAATATATATTGGATAATTTTTTCCTGGAATGATACGTTAGTTTCCTTATGTAGTCACCCATGATCCCAAACATGTCACTCCTGTCCCCAGTTTTTGTCACCCATTCTATTTTCAGTGAGTTTGCAAAGTGAAATGATTTGTTTAGCTCTATTTGCCTTGTATTTAGTAGTTCTTTGTATTTTTAAAGAATAATTTTCTAGCTCATAATACTTTAAGAGAAATGAAAGGGCATAAGTGGAAGCTTGTCCATGGTAGTTGATTGAGGGGTTTGGTTTGAGACCAGATTGTAAGTCCCTTGAGAGCAGGGACCATGTTATGGTGCTGTGCACACACAGGTGTTCAATAAATATTTGTTGAAAAAAATTTTTTTTTGTTCAGACCTGTAATTGTATTAGTAGAGAGAACCTCTGATATGGAAACTCACTTCACAAAACAAACTCCTTATATAGATGTAGGTTTGCAATATAACTTAAGTCTTAAGAGAGTTGCTGAAGGTATTGAGAAATTGATTTACTTGTCCATGGTTGCACAGCTGGTATGTGTCAGAGGCAGGACTTGAATCCAAGTCTTTCTGACATGCCAAATAAATTTTAGTTGACCTATTATGTAGAAAATAGTAGCTGTTAATTTTTTTTATTTTTTTGGTGAGGCAGTCGGGGTTAAGTGACTTGCCCAGGGTCACACAGCTAGTGTCAAGTGTCTGAGGTTGGATTTGAACTCAGGTCCTCCTGACTCCAAGACCAGAGATTGATCCACTGCACCACCTAGCTGCCCCTAAATTTTTTAATTGACATTTGTTTTTAGATTATATTCAGTACCAAATATGTCCCTCTCTCCTCCCCTACCCAGTGAACCCATACCGTAGAGAATAAAAAGGAAATAAAAAAATTAAAAAACAGTTCAGCAAAACTAATTGAACTGGGTCTAATATAATATGCAATATTCCATGCTTGTGGGTTTCATTTCTTTTTTTTTTAATTTTTTTTGTGGGTTTCATTTCTGCAATGTACATTTTCTCAGCCCTTTTTAAGTCGGAGCTTTGTTGCTACAATTACAGACCATGTGTTTTATCCTTTTCTTTCCATTGACATTATTGTAATCGTGTATATTATTTCCTTGGTTCTGCTTTACTCAATGAGTTTCTGTCTTTGTATGCTCCTCTGTATTCTCCATACTCCTGGTTCCTTATGATGTAGTAACATTTCATTATATTTGTGTACCCCCAGTGGTCCTCAAGCTTTTTGTGTTGACGACATAGTATTCTTTGCTTGTGGGAATTTGTAGCCTACTGGACGTTCAAAATTTCATGACTAACATAGCAAAATATGAGGCATTCCATTTATTTTGCCATTCCTAAATCTGTGGGCATCATTTTATTTCTTTGCTACAACCAAAGTGGTGCTATGAATATTTTGATGTACCACAGGATCTTTCTGTCTGATCTCATTGGAGTGTATACATACCTAGAAGTAGGATCTCTGGGTCAAAAGGTAGAAATATTTTTGTTGCTTTTTTAGCATAATTCCAAATTGCTTTCCAGAGTAGCTGGGCCAGTTCACAGCTCTACTAGCAGTGTATTACCATGCCTGTCTTTCCAGATATGTTCTAGTCTTGATTTTTATCTTTATCAATTAGGGAGGATCAAGGTGAAATCTCAGAATTGTTTTGACTTGCATTTTTCTTATTATTAGTGGTCTGGAGCAGTCTTGTGTGATTTTTGTTAGTTGAAATTCTTCTTGAAAATCATATGTGTACACATGATACTCACTAGCTGTGTGACCCTGGGAAGTCACTTAACCCTGATTGCCTTGCCAAAAAAAAAAAATAGAGAATCATATGTGTCCTTTGCCCACAGATTCATTTGGAGGATGGCAGTTCTTATTTAATTTGTTATTGAATCACTATACTGTAATTATTTTGTAATTTAGTTACTGCCTGTGGCCACAAGAGGGTGACATTGTTCAATGAATCAAATAGCTCACTGCTTTACTGGAAAAATTCTGCCAAGGTTTCTCATATTTTTTAAAATTAGTTTTTAAATTTTGAATTTGACAAACATCAACAAATATGAATATTTCTACATGCAAACAGAAATAAAGAAGGTATGTATATCCAATTTGTGTATTATATATAGATTTTTAAAAGTATATATTAAACACTAGTACCAACACTACCGCCCTGCTAGTTTGTGCCCCTTCTGAACTTTCTTCTGTGTATCTTTTTTTCAATTCATGTGTCTGCTATTTGCGATTGTTGTGACCGTAAGCACCTCTTTTTTTTTTTATTATTAATTGTAGTTTTCAACAATCACTTCCATAAGCTTTTGAGTTTCAAATTTTTCTTCCCCTTCCTTCTCACTTCTCTCCCCAAGACAGCATGCAATCTGATATGGGCTCTACATATACGTTCCTATTAAACATATTTTCACATTTATCATGTTGTAAGGAATAATTAAAGCCAATAGAAGGAACCACAAGAAAGAGGAAACAAAACAAAACAGAAGGAAAAAAAAAAGAGCAAATAGTATCCTCCAATCGGCATTCAAACTCCATAGTTCTTTCTCTGGATGTGAATAGCATTTTCTATCATGAGATTTTTGGAGATGTCTTAGATCCTTGCATTGCTGAGAAGAGCTAAGTCTGTCAAAGTCATCGCACAACATGGCTGTTAGTATGTACAACATTCTCCTGGTTCTGCTCACTTCACTTAGCATCAGACCATACCAGTCTTTCCAGGTTTTTCTAAAGTTGGCCTGCTCATCATTTCTTATAGCACAATAATATTCCATTACATTCATAACTTGTACATAACTTGTTTAGCCATTCCCCAATTGATAGGTATCCCCTCAATTTCCAATTCTTTGCCACCACAGAAAAAGCTGCTATAAATATTTTTGTACATGTGGGTCCTTTTCCCATTTTTATGATCTCTTTGGGATATAGACCTAGAAATGCTATTGCTGGGTCAAAGGGTATGCACATTTTTATAGCCCTTTGGGCATAGTTCCAAATAGCTCTCCAGAATGGTTGGATCATTTCAACTCCACCAATAATGCATTAGTGTTCCAATTTTCCACATCTTCTCCAACATATATCATTTTCTCGTTTTGTCATGTTGTTGATAGGTGTGATGTGGTACCTTAGAGTTGTTTTGATTTGCATTTCTCTAATCAATAGTGATTTAGAGCATTTTTTCATATGACTATAGATGGCTTTAATTTCTTCATCTGAAAACTGCCTGTTCATATCCTTTGACCATTTATCAATTGGGGACTGTGTCTTTTTTAAAATGAATTTTTATTGATATCTGTTGTTTTTAAAAAGACCAAAATCTTCCTTGTGTGTCTCATACTTTCCCTCCCAGAGAGCCACCCCATATAACAAATTTTTTTTAAAGACAAGAAGAAGAAAGAAATTGGTAAAACTGATCAATACATTGCAAAAGTCTGAACATGTGTTCAACATACCATACTTGAGGACCTACTACCGCTGTGAAGGGATGAGGTGGGAGGTAACTTTGAATCTCTTGTTTGGAGTGATGACTGTTCTTTGTAATTTGGTAACATTCACCTTTTCTGGGTAGTTGTTTCCATTTAAATAGATCTTTCCATGCATCTCTGTATCTATCACATTCTTAGTTTTCTTGTCTATTCCCCTTTAAGCTTCAAATATTTTGTATTTGCTTTGCCTTACAGATAGGGATTACAGACCCTGCTCTTTTAGATTCTGATGCAGTTAATTTTGTTTCAGCCCCTCATTTTTATTCTATGTATGTCTTGATTTTTTAGCTATGTTTCTTGTAAGCAACAGATTGTGAAGGTTTGTTTTCTTATCCAGTCTATCATTTTTCCATTTTATCGGACTGTTTAATCTATCCACATTTAAAGTTATGAGAGGTTTATATTTTCTTCCATTTGTTTCTAATGTTTTCCCCCCCAAATCAGGATTTTTTCCCTTTTTTTCTCTGTAAAAACAGTACTTTGTCTTTTCAGTTATTTTAGTTTAATCTACTTTAAGGTAATCCTATTTCTTGTCAGCTCTTCCCTCACCCTTAAGTCCCTCTGCCCTCCCATTTGTCACCCCTTTCTCTAGTTTTGGATTTTTGCTTTATTTATTAATTTCTTTTTCTCCCTTTTATCAATTTTTCTAATTCTTCCACCTTTTTTTCTCTCTAATAAGTAGCCAAGTAAAATAACCCTTACTGTCCTCTCCTTCAACTTGTTTGTTTTTAAATTTCAATTTCTAAAAAAGGATTTCTTTCTCTTGCTCTCTTCATTATTTCTTTTCCATTTCTATTTATTCCAGGCTTTTATTTTTTGATTCATGGCCTTTATATTGATTTCATACAACTTTAGTCTTTGTATTCCTCATCTAAACTGTTTCTTTGTTATTGCCTTGTAGATCTTGACTCCTGGCCCTTTCTGTTGTACCTCATTCTTAGAAATGCCAGTTCCTGTAGGTGATAAAAGTATGGCCCTGTGATAGTAATCTTCATATCCCTGTAGCTTATTACTACCCTTTGCCCTCCTCCACAATCATCTTTTCCCATTTGCCTTGAAATCTTTCAGGGTCCTTTCCTCTCACTGTTCTGGGTGCCACTTGCCCCCAGAGCTCTGATTCGCCCTCTTCTGAGGTAGGATGAATGTTCTTTCTAAGCACCAAATCCCTGCAAATTATACCTATTACAAGATTTCTGTCTCCTATTATAATAGAACATCTCCCTTTTGAGCTGTGTTCTTCAGTAGGACCTCCCTCCCACCATTTTAACACCATTGCCTCCTCCTACTCTTCTCCTCCCCCTTCAATGCCTCTCTTTGCCTCCTCACCCATACTCATGTAGATTCTCTTCTTTCTGAGAGGCTACAGAAGTTATTTTCTCTTCATTGTTCACAATTACCTTGATCAGAGTACAACAATATTCCCCTTATTTTCTCCTTTTCCCCATTTATGCGACTTTAAGGACATTGATTTACCTGTGGATGGCAGTATTGAGGTTTAGCCCATGATGCCTCAGGCCTTTTCTTCACCATCACTTACTTTTTGATTTCCCGTTTTCATCCTTGTTTCATTGTGTAGTTTTAGACATCTCTTAATGGTCTCTTTTTTGTTATTTTGTTGTTAACTCTATTGATGCCTTTCTTTTATTTTAGTCCTCCTACTCCCTGGGGTAATTCATTTCTTTACCTGTGCCTTCCTTGGTTGCTGTGTTTACCTTTCTTGTATTTTTGTTGTCTGAATGTTTGAAAAGCAAATAAAATCCTCAGGTCTGGGTTGTTGTTGTTTTTTTTTTTTTGGTAGGAATGCTTCAAATGCTTCTAACAGTCTTATAATTCTTTTATGTGAGTAGCTTTAACAAGTGGCTAGGTTGCCTTTTCTCCCTACAATTTATAGAAATGGAAGAGAATTAGGTAGAGTGAGCCAGATGGTTGTAATGAGGAGGCTGCATAAGCTGGAAAGGCTTGCTTGTTGAGAGAAGTCCCAAGAGCAGCCTTGTTAAATGGTTTACAGAAAGTTTAAAAACAAACAAACAAAACAAAAAACCCTCTTCAAACAACTACATCTCCAGAAAAACCAGGAGCTGACATGAACTCACTGAAGAAAGTTTATGGCCTGATTGGGTCCCGGACCCCCTTAAAACTAGAAAAAGGAAACACATAATTATTAAGTCCAAGCTAAGGAAAAGAATGGAGAAATGATAACAGATCAGTGTTAGCAGATCTAATAGAGGCTGAGGGGAAGACTGGGGATCAAATGCAATTTATATGTACACACTGCACTTGAGGTCACAAGACCCAGGTTTATATCTCAGTTTGGATGCTTGCTAACTGATCCTGGGCAAATGACCAAATCTTCCTGAGCCTTGGTTTCCGGGGTTGTGAGGAAAATGATCTATAAACGTTAACAGCTCATTTTGTTAGTTTAAAAAGTCCTTTCACATTATCTCATTTGTTTCTCACAACCAGATCTCTTCTTTTTACAAAGGAGGAAACTGAGAGGATGTGACCTCTTGAAGGTCACATGGCTAATTTGAGGTGGAGTCAGAACTAGAGCTGTGGCCCAAGTTGTCACAAAATGGAAAAGGGAGAAAATCACGGGAATGAAGAAGTCTTCCAAGGCTGCTCCAGTGCTACAACTAAGCGAGCATCGAGATTGGACTGCGCATGTAGGGTAATGGCTCTGCAAGAGACAAAAACCCACGGCCAGTTTTGAAATGGAATTTGTGTTTGAACAGATTATAGGGAATGAGGTCAGTCTAGTTGTGCATTTTGGAATGAGAGCTGGCCTGAGTACAACATTTTTTGGTAAAATAGAGATTGAAGAAGGCTTGCAAAGCAAATGCTGGACTTGAGAGAGGAAGCGATTAAGGCAGGAAGAGAAACAGAGGAGAAGCAGGTCAGCCTAAAGATGGATTTCTGTGGTGGTTAGGATGAGATGGAGCCTCGAAAGGAAAGGAAGATGAGGGAGCTTGAGTTATGACTCAAAGGCTTCTCCTCTTTTCACTTAAAGCCCATGTTTGGGTTGATGAGAAATGTGGGTTGTTTTTAAAAGAGTGAGCAAAGCTGGTATGTTAAACTTTAGAATTTTCAGTGGATAGGATCTGATTGTACAATATCACATTGTCTTATGTTCTTCTGTAAGTTATATGTCCGAAGAGTTCCTTAGTTCCTCTTGAAGGTAATAATACATATAAAACACAGAATCATGTCCTCATCTATCAACAATATTTTCTAAATGCTAACATTTTGGTTCACATGGATAAACTTCCTACTCACCACTTAAGTGGTAGAGAAGAATAATATGCTAAGCAGCTCTCTGCCACAACAGTCTTGGGGGCCCTGAGCCACAGATGGCTGTGTTGTTAAGAGATCCTCTAGATAGCCCTTAGATGTTATTCAAGACCACTCATGGTGCTGAGGCCCAGAGGGTTGAGGTGAAAAGACCATTGAATTTGGAGCTGGAGGACCTCTGCCACTTCCTGTCTTTGTAAATGTTTCGTAAGTCACTTTTTTCTGGACTGCAGTTTCCTCATCTTTAAGGACGTTGAATGAAATGACCTTTGAAGTCCATTGCCACATTAGATCTATGACCCTACAATTTGTAATGCTAGACTGCAGCAGTCTTAATAGAGTAATATACTTAATGTTTTCTCTTGGCACTTCATAATTGATATCAATCACTGACTTTGCATAGGCTTTAAGGTTTAATAACAACTGAGATAAATAGAGCCTTTTATGAGTTAGAGTTCCCCACAAGGTTATAAAGAATAAACATTTTTTGGGGCAGCTAGATGGCGCAGTGTATAGAGCACCGGCCCTAGAGTCAGGAGGACCTGAGTTCAAATCCTGCCTCAGACACATGATACTCATTAGTTGTATGACCCTGGGCAAGTCACTTAACCCCAATTGCCTCGCAAAAATAAAAAAAAATTGAAACAAACAGAAAGAAAGAATAAACATTCTTAACTCCATTTTAGGTGAAAGGAAACCAAGGCTGACTGTAGTGAGGTGACTTAGCCAAGGTTACACAGTCACAACACTGCAATTTTTATCGAGGTCTTCTGACTACAAGTCCACTTGCTCTTTAGCAACTTAAGGAAACAAGATAGCTGGCAGAACCCGAGGGCAGTGAGTTATTTGATGTGGCTGGTCACACTGCAGAGTTGGTGAGAACTGAAGTTATCCCTTCCACATTGAAGGGGTTAGGGGTGTGGCCGTCCCACAATCTGGAGAATCCTAATAAAATTTTTTGACCCTCTCTTCTTACCAGAGAAGAAGTCTGATTTTTTCCTTTTTCATTTATGGGGTGTTTATAGTGTAGTTTATTGTAAAATTTGGGTTGATATTATATAATACTATACATATATTTTATGCATTCTGAGTTTCTAAATTTTTTCTGTGTCAGTCTGCTGGCCTGTGTTGCCTGCTGCTTCTGCAAAACTCCCCCAGAATTCCTATTTAATTTCTTATGCTGATGGGAGATATATCAAAATCTCGATGGGGAAAGTCATGATGTGGAAGGTATAAGTATGCCTGGAAAAAAATTTGAGTGCTTTTCAGTTGCATTCTTCATCACCCAGAACATACTCTGAACTAAAAGCCTGTCTTTTTGTTTCATAGTCACTGACCATCCTTAAGTTACATGCTATACTTTTGTAAAAAATTAAGATATCCCTAAAAGTTTTGGATTGAACCTTCTGTACTAGCAAAACTAGAAACCCAATTAATTGCCCTTGATACGTTGCAGATTAACTTGTAAATCTGGAGGGAAGTTAAGTAAGTGGTGCAGTAAATTTGAAGTCTTCTGACTTCAGGTCTTCTGACTCAACTCCAAATACCAGATCTCCTATTTATTATCTGTGTGACCTTGAGCAAGTCTTCTAACTTTAGGCCTCAGTTTTCTCATTTATATGAAGGAGGTGGATTAGATACCTAAGTGCCCTTCCAGCTGTAAATCCTGTGATGTGTCCATGTTTAGAGTTGAAGGTTATTCTGCTCCTTCTCCATGCCCCATGGAAAACCCCTTGAGAAACATCACAGAATTTTAGACCTGGAAGGAGCTTTGCAATATGGAAGGGAGCTTAAGAGATCATTTAGATCAACCCACTCATTTTACAAAAAGGGAAACAGGCCGGTGAAAGAAATGACAAATAACCATTTATCAAGGGCCTATGTGCCTAGCACTTACATTCTACTAATGGAAAACAATTCTTACATACATACATATTACATCTATACAAAATAATTACAAAGTTTTTTTTTTTGATGGGAAAGCAAGAACTGGGGAGATCAGGAAAAATCCTGTAAGAAGTAGCACATAAGCTGAGCCTTTCAGAAGGAATTCCAAGAGGTGAAGGAGAGGAAGTAGAGAGCATACTAGATACGGGGTACAACTTGTGCAAAGGCCCAGACAGACCAACCCTCCTATGGATATATTCATGGATACGCCCTTTGAATATACCCACGTAAAGGATGAGCCCCTCGTCCTAAATTGCCTACCACTTCTTTGACCCTTCCGATAGGTACAATGTCATAAAGTAGTTAGGTGACCTTGTTGTCTCAATATCTTCCACAGCTTCTGGCGTGACCTCTTATATACCTGCTCTAATATTTGTTGTATAAACCACCTAACATCTGTGAATAAGGAAGAAAGCAAAATTCCAATACATGCCTGTGTGTTATTTGGTCAACAAACATATTAGATTTCCCAGTTATATTGTTCCTTCCATAGCTCCAATGCTTTAGCTCTTGAGTAGAATGCAACAAAGGCTGGAAAGGAACAAACACAATTATATGGCTAATGGGAGAGGGGTGGCGTACAGGTGTATCCCCTATGTATCTCAGGGAAGAAATCCTATTCCAGTTCTGAGAAAATCCCGTCCGCAGTTTATGTCTCGCTCTAGATCCGCCTGCAAGGGCACCCTCGCTGGGAAGCCTCGTGTCTGCTCTGCAAGGGGCCTGGGAGCCCGCAGAATCCCTGGAGGGAGGGACTGAAGAACCGGTTGGAAGAAGAGTGCACCAAGTCTAAAGAGTGGCCTGGCGGAGGGGAGTAAGTCAATGAAAAACTACAACTCCCAGCGGCCTTCAGGACGGTGCCCAAGGCGATTAGCTAACAACTTCAGTACTAACAGGCTCACTAGCCAATGGAGAAGAAAGCTTTGTCCCCACCTGATTTCTCTGAGACCAATAAAAATAGGAGGGCGTTTCCTTCTTGCTTGAAAGGAAAAAAAGACTAAAAAACCGGGCGGTTTTTAATTATTTCTGTCTAGGCTCATCCAGACAACAGAATTTGGACTGGAAAATACGGCTGACTCATATAACGGAGCTTGTCCCGTAAAAAAACCAAAACAAAAAACCCCTCCCCTCGGGAGTACGCCCCTCCCCATTCTTCTCTCCTCCTCCCACTGCTTCCGCTACGTCCCGTACGTGCTAGCGGCGGGCGGGGCCAGGAGGGGCGGGGCGCGGGAGCCCGGGGCGGGGCTCAGCCTCGTTGTGGAGCGGGTTGTAATCCATCATGGCGGCCGAGGGGGTTGGTGTCTTTGCCTGAGCAGCAGCGCCGGAGCCGGTGGCCGTGTACCCTCAGCTAAGGCGCCCCACCCGGCCCCCGGTCCACGCCCCCGCCGCTGCAGCCCCGCGCCCCAGCTGGGAGGGGGAGAGACAGACAGAGAGAGGCAGAGAGAGGCAGGCAGAAGGGGAAGCAGGTTGGCAGGGAGGGAGCGGGCGGACGCTCGGGAGCTCCGGGGGATGTGACTGACTGACCATTGGCTGGAGTGGGAGACCCGAGGGAGGAAGGACCGCCGGGCCGGGGGCGGCGGGTGTCTCCGGGCCGAGTTTCCTTCTCCTGCACTCAGAGGACTGGGCAGCGCCTCCCCTCCCCCCGCCGGCACCACGGGCATCTCGGTGACTTCCTCCCGACCCCGGCTTTTGGGGTATCGGGGGAGGCGGGACTCTCCAGCAGGGTCGTACCCCGACCCCGGTGCCTGGAGCGCCTCCGCCGATCCCTCCCCCGTGGGAGACGGTAGTGAGCGAGGGAAGCAGCCTCCTTCCGTCCCCTGCTGACCCCTCTGCTCCCCTAGACTCTCCTGTTCCACTCCTTTTCTTCAGAGGTTCCCCAACCCTGCCACTCACTTCTCCTCTTCCTCCTGCCCCCCCCACCTTCCATCCCTTCCCCAAAAGGCTGCCAAGTTTTCCCTTCCGTCCCAGGTCCAGCTTCTCCCCGGTGCCACCCATTCAAACACTCTTCCTTGCTTTCCCTTCCTCCCTCCCTCCCCCCTCCAACCTTGCCAACCTCTAATGCCCTGAGTCTTTTTCTATGTCACCTAAGGCCTTATTAAGTTCTAGACAGCCCCAAACTTTAATGCAAAGGAAAAGTCTGGGTTGGTTCCATAGGCCCTTTAAAAAAGCTGACTTGAAATTGCTGGCAACGCGTTCCTCGAGTGACTGACTGCTAGTGTAAATCTATTTGTGAAGTCTGGGTGACCCCCGCTCAGTTTTCCGGAGAGAAGTAGAAGCCAGATTGGCAGGAAATTTGTCAAAGATGAAGAAACCAAGATAGGGTTTGGGCGACTTCCACAGGAAAAGTTTCAGAGCGGGTATCCAGATCCTTCTGTCAAAGAACATTTCTGATTTTTTCTGATAAGCAGAGACCCAGAAACAGCTACACTTTTGTCTTTGTTTGGAAATCTAAAATGACATTGGCATACCTGACACTTTTAGACTTAAGTAATACTCCATGCAAATACCTTACTCTCAAGAGGGTTGCAAAAATTGCAGTGGGAAAAGTGCATTCCTTGTGAAATTTTTTTAAAATGGCTTCACTTTTGGAAAGAAACTGATTCCTATTCAACAAGTAAAAGACATCTAAATCAATTGACATTTTAGTTGTGTTGAACAAACTGATAAACTGTAGAATTGGAGCTCCTCTTTACCTGAGTGGACTTCGAAGCCTTTTTTACACTCAGTTTTGGGAGAATTCTCTTGTGATTGACTTCAGTAAGTGATTTTTCAGGAGTGTGAATGTGAAACCCAAATACTATTGTCATTCTAAGCTATTGGACCATTCTGGAAGATCTGAAACCCTCTTCTGGAAAGGGTTGTCTATTATTCCTTTATGGGGCAGCAGCCTGGAAAAGTCCTTGGGGACCAGAGAAGGCCAAGTTTGCCTGCCCTGCACTTTATCAAAGGAGCAGGGAAGAAGGAATCATCAAGGCATGGGGGTCCACACTGCAATGTTTTTGTGGAACATGGTAAGTGCTTATTAGTATTGCTCAAATTAATGTTTATCATATAGACTTTGCTAGGATGCTAGAATTAGAGCACAACAGATTTTTCTGATTCAGACTGCACGTTTAAAAATTTAGAAAGCCACTATATATGTATTCCTCTTAGTAGGCTCTTAGACTCACTTTTTACGAGAAAAAGTTTCTTTATGACTTGATGTTATGCAAAATCTCATAGTTTTATTTATTTCCTACCTAGCTCTTCAGATAACTTCCTGTGTCATGTTGGGCAAGTCGTTTCCCCAAAATATGAGTCTCAGTTTCTTTTTGTAAAATGAGAGGATTGGACTAAATGATTGCTAAGGCCTAATTCATTCCTAATAAATCTATGATTCACTGATAATTGAGTACGTATTTTGCACAAATGTCACTTACACAGAGTAGGTGCTTATTAAATGCTGGTTGAATGAACAGACAAATATAAATTCTTTTATATAACATTAGTGCCAATCATTTCCTCTTAATATTTTTCTGGTTTTCAGTGTGTTTGAAATGACATTTATGAAAAGTTGTCATTGGAATTTTTAATGTATTGTTATTTTATTGTCCTACTGTATGTGTGGGCTTATATCTTCTAGTAAGCCTTTTTGGTTAAGTTACAGCAAACAACCAACTTAGACTGATACCTCTCAGCAGGGAACAGTTATTTAACTTGTGAACTCAGGGTTCTGTTCATAGTTCTGTTATGAGGAATAGTATTTGTGAGGTCTTGTGACCTGATATGGCCTATCATTATTAAAATATTTAGTGATGCTTCACCCTGGTCATCAAATTCTTAAAGTGCTCAAGTCATATGCTTGTAAAATTCAAGTGAGGATCCAAGTTACTAAATGGGAATAATAACTTCAATGTACTGAGATTTTTTAAACGGTTAACTGCGCATGACAATTGAAATGTAAGCATGACCCAGATTAATGAAGTTGTTAGTATTTCTGTAGTGGGCATTTAGTCCAAGGAACTTTTTGACCAAGATGTATTCAAGGTGAAGAAAAAGAAATGAAAATTAACTAATCCTGTGAGTACTTTTAAGTTTTTTAGCAGCATGGTATGGTGCAATGAGTGCTGAATTTGTAGTCTGAGGACCTTGCTTCAAATCCCAGCTCTGTTAAAGTCTTGTTAAATTTACTTAAACTCTCTGGGCCGCAGTTCTCATCTGTAATATTAGGGGCTTTGACTAAATGACTTTAGAGGTCCCATTCAGATTCAAATCTATGATCTGTGACCTAGTTAGGTACTTGAATTTTAATTCTTCTTAAGCTTCTTGAAAAAGCCCTGAAATTAAATTAAATTTTAGTCCAGTTTGACAGGCAAATTTGGTGATATTTAAAATAATTGCTCATTATGATTTCTCCTCTCTTTCACTCTCTTTACTTCCTCCTTTTAAAAGTTCATTTTTAAATACACTGGTAACAAGTGATGACTTCTTAGTTGACTAGTCACTTTGTTGTATTACCTTTTCTTTTTTTTAAATAAATTTTTTTTCAATTGACAAAAATCTCCTCTCCCTCTCACCACCTCACCCCCGAGTTGAGAAAGAAAGAAAAATAACTAAAAAAAAACCCCAACTTGACTATACATGTTATAAACATGTATAGTCAAGCAAAACAAATTTCTACATTGGCCATGTCCAAATACACACACACACACACACACACACACACACACACACACACACACGTATATATGTATGTATCAATCTGCACTCTGAATTCATCACCTCTCTATTAGGAGGTAGAGAGCATGTTTCACCATGAGTCCTCTGGAAATCATAGTTGGTTATTCTGTTGGTTAGAGTTCCTAAGTCTTTCATAGTTTTTTGTCTTTACAATATTGTCGTCACTGTTTAAATTGTCTTCATTCTCCCTACTCACTCTGCTTCAGTTCTTGTAAGTCTTCCCAGGTTTCTATGAAATGAGCTCCTTCATTATTTCAAAGAACACAATGGTAACCCATTTTGATCGTGGACTCAATACAGTCCTCCGAGGCTGAGGTGCAACAGAGTGTGGATACATTCTCTGCTGCTTGTGCTAATTTTGGCATAACAGTTAACACCTAGAAAACAGGTTCTCCAGCCAGTACTACACCATCCATCTGTAGAACCACTGGTTACAGCAAATGGAGAAGTTTTGAATGCTGTGGGTAAGTTTACTCACCTTGGCAGTATACTTTCTAGGGATGTACACATAGATGATGAGGTTGACACATGCGTTGCCAGAGCTAGCTCTGTATTTGGAAGGCTCTGAAGAAAAGTGTTGGGGAGAAGAGGTATTAGGCTTCCCACCAAACTGGAGCTCCACAGCGCTGTTGTGTTGCCCTCGTTGTATGCCTGTGAAACTTGGACAGTCTCCCAGTGCCATGCCAGGAAACTGAACAGCTTCTATTTGAATTGTCTTAGGAAGATTCTGAAGATCACCAGGCAGGATAAGGTATTGGACAGTGAGATCCTTTCTTAAGCTGAGCTGCTAAGCATTCAAACTTTACTGTAGAATTGGCTAGCCATGTTGTTTGAATGCCAAACATATGTTTGCCCAAAAGACCGTTTTATGGAGAACTCACACTTGGCAAGTGCTTGTATGAAGGTCAGAAGAAGCGATACAAGGACACCCTCAAGGTCTGTCTGAAGAACTTTGGAATAGATTGTGAGGTGGAGATGCTGTCAAAGGACTGCCTAGCATAGTGTGCTCATATCAAAGAAGATGCTGTGCCCTTTGAAGCAGAATTGCAGTAGTTCAAAAGAAATGTGAGATGTGCAAATTTAGAGACATCTAAATCCCAATGTTCATGTGGACTATTTGTGCTCTACCTGTGGTAGAGCCTTCTGAGCTCATATTGGTCTGATCAGCCACAGTTGGACACACTGTATCTTGACCCCAACATAGTGATGTCATTTTGGTCCTCTTTGAGAATAAAGGACAACAACCAACCAATCATTTATTTTTATTTTTTTTAACGTAATTGAGGTTAAGTGACTTGCCCAGGGTCACACAGCTAGTGTCTGAGGCCAGATTTGAACTCATGATGAGTCTTCTGGATTCCAAGCCTCACACTCTATCTACTGTACCACCTAGATGGCCCCCAACCAATCATTTAATCCCATTTATATATCATAACTTATTTAAATATTCCCCATTTGGTGGGCACCCCCTCAGTGTCTAATTCTTTGCTACTCCAAGAAGTGCTGATCCAAATATTTTTGTACGTCCTTAGAGTTTGTTTTGCTTAGGACTTTTCCCTCTCTTAATTTACCCTCTCTCTCATTCTCCCCTCTCCTGTCTCTCTTTTCCTTCCTCTTTCTCTTTTGAATGAAATGTATTTTGGTACCCAACTGTGTGTGTCAGTTAATAAGTAAGCATTTATTAAGTGCCTGCTCTGTATAAATTCATAAATGTAACACAAGGCACTGTGCTAATTATGGAGGACACAAAGTGTACTTTTCCCTTCTAACAGTTCAGATAAGTGTGAGAATCAAATAGCTGCTGTTCCCTCCATTCCTTCTTCCTTGTTTGTATAGACTTCTCTTGTGCACCCTTTTACTTGTGTGATTATGTGAGATTATTTCCCCCATCCTTCCTCTACCCTTTCTACCATCAGTGTATTCTTCTTCTTTCCTCTTCCCATTCTTCTTTTAAGATCATCAAAACATAGCAGAACAACTTCCAAGTCCTCTAATTAGACTCCCTCTATGGTGCCTGATGATAGGCACCTCCCCTCTCACCCCCCCACACGATTAGAAGGTAAACACTTTATTCCAGGAAGCATCTAGGTGGTGCACTGGATAGAATGCTGAGCCTAGAGTCTTGAAGCTATGAGTTCAAATCTAGCTTGAGACATTTGCTAGTTGTATGACCCTGGTCAAGTCACTTAACCTTAGTTTCCCCAGCTGTAAAACTTCTTGAGCCCCTACCTGGCAGGGTTGTTGTGAGAATCAAATAAGATAATATTTGTGAAGTACTTAGCATAATGTCTGGCACATAGTAGGGGCTTAATAAATCCTTACCTCCTCCTTTCTTTACTTCCCTCCCTGATCGTTGCCTGGTCATGTTCGCCTTTTTGTGTTTCTTTTGATTCTGTTCAGCTTTGGTCTCTTCATCAGGAATGCTAGGAAACCCTCTATTTCATTAGTGGTTAATTTTTCCCCCCCTCTAGGATTATATTCGTTTTTGTGGGGGGAAGTTATCTTGACTACAGGCCTATGTACTTTACCTTCTGTAATATATTCTGAGCTCTCTGCCCTTTTTTAGTGGTGGCTGCTAAATCGTGTTTGATTCTTACTGTGGCTCTTCAATATCATACTTGAATTCTTTCTAGCTGCTTGCAGTATTTTTACTTTGACCTGGAAGGTTTGGATTTTGGTTGGCTATAATATATCTGGGAGTTTTTGTTTTGGGCTTTCCTAAGGTAAACAGTAGATTCTTTCTGTTTCCATTTTGCCATTTGGTTCCAAGAGATTTGGGCAGTTTTCTTTTATGACTTCTTCAAGTATGATGTTTAGACTCTTTTTCTTGGTCATCATGGCTTTCAAGTAGTCTGCTGATCTTTAAATTAGCTTTACTCAATCTGTGTTTTCCAGGTCAGTTTTTGATATGAGATACCTTGCATTTTCTTTTTGTTTTTCAGTCTTTTTAATTTGTTTAAATATTTCTTGTCTCATGGCATTATTATTTTCTATTTGGTACATTCTAACTTTTAGGACGTTTGTTGCTTGGATAGTGTTTTTTACCTTTTGTGCCAAACCATTAATTCTCTTTCCAATTCTTTCTTCCATACTTATTATTTCTTTTTCATTTTTTTCTTTAGTGTTCTCATTTCATGTATAAACATTTTTTTAACCCATTTCATCTCTTTCAGGAATCCTAGTTAAACTTGTGCTCAGGTGTGCGTTCTTTTGAGGCTTTACTTGTAAATATTCTGGAGATATTGTTTTCTTCTGGGTTTGTTTCTTTGAGTGTCCCAGTTACCGTGATAGT